CTATCTATCTATCTATCTATCTATCTATCTATCTATCTATCTATCTACATCTATATATATGTGAATGATATATCATATATATTATGAAGGAGCCACCAAGTCCCCAGGTCCTGTTGTTGACACTGGGGACTCTTAGTTATTCATGGGTTCTCAGCTCCTTCAGGAAGAAGCACCCTGGGCTGTGACTGTGGTGGACTGAGCAGGACCCAGGGCTGGGTAGAGGCCTTGTGCATACCTGAACCTTGCTTAGTGGTCTCTGAGAGCCCAGACCTAGAGGGGCAGACCCTTAGACTACTCCAGAGCTCCAGGCCCTGTTGGGCGTCCCCTTTCTCTGTTTCAAGATAGCCTCTAGATAGGCAGCCTGTGTTTTACAGGTGAGGCCCTCATACACGCCCAGGATTCCAGATCCCACCACCTCTCGCCTGGCCCTGACCAGCTTATCAGCTATGTGGTCCATGATGTTTGCATTGTAGAGGCGTCGTCTCTGGTCAGGCCACCAACTCTTGATGTAGATGCAGGGCTTGCGCTCCAGGTAGGGCAGGTGGAAGTAGTTCCTGGAGTCGGATGCAGAGGAAGGTTGAGGGATATTGAGGTGTAGGGTCCTGGGAGGTGAGGGCCGAGGTCACTGGAGCTGAGGCAAGTGGCAGGACTCACCTGTCTGTGATCTGGGGCCGCATAGGTGGGGTGGAAGACACTGAGGCCAGGTCTCCGCCTTCATCCCCCTCATCATCACTGGAGTTCTGAATCAAGTCTACTTCTTCTTCATCCCCAGGCTCCTTCCGGGGCCGAGGCCGCTGGGGCCGTGACATGCCATCAACTTCATTGCCATAGTTTCCTGGACAAAGAGTGACTTGTCAAGTCCTTTCCTTACTCATTCCCCCTCCGTCCAGTCCATGTATTCCTCCTGGAGAGGTAAAGGGCTCAGACAGCACCATCCAGCGAAGGGACCCGTCGCTCATAAGGGAGAGAGTTGGCCCTTTGGTGGAGTGATGGCTGACCTCTCTTGTGGTCAAGTACACTCTCAAGAACCAGAGATGCTTCATGAGCATTTGAGGACAGTCAGGGCAACACATCAATTCGCCCACTGTGCTGGCTGGTTTTGGGTGTCAACTTGACGGCTAGAGCCATCAGAGAGGAAGGCATCTCAGCTGACAAAATGCCTCCTTGAGATCCAGCCATAAGGCATTTTTTTTTCAACTAGTGATCAAATGGGGGAGGGCCCAGACCATGGTGGGTGGTGCCATCCCTGGGCGGGTGGTCCTGGGTTCTATAAGAAAGCAGGCTGAGCAAATCAGCAAGCAGCACCCCTCCATGGCCTCTGCATTAGCTCCTGCCTCCAGGACCCTACCCTGTTTGAGTTCCTGTCCTGACTTCCTTTAATATAAGCAGCAATATGGCAGTGTGAGCCAAACAAACCCTTTCCTCCCCACCTTGCTTTATGGTCATGGTGTTTTGTTGCAGCTATAGAAACCCTAAGGCACCCACTCTTTGTAGCCTAGGGCATGGGGCTCACAGTGACAACCCAGAAGCTGGAAACGCTTCCCATGACCCCAGCAGCTCTCACCTATGGTCACTTCAAAGGTAACTGGCTTGTCCCCGTTTTTCCGGTCAATCATTGAGGCTTCCAAGAAGGCTCCAAATAGGAAAAATTCTTCCATTCTTCCTGTGCAGCTCTGTGGGGGAGGCAGTTAAAGCTTACACTGAGTTTTAGTGGGGCAGCAGACCTGGGTCAGACCAAGACCTCATGTCATAGATAGGCTGTTGGCTGACAGTTGGGGTGTGTCCTACTCAGTTCTGGGTCTAGGAAGTCTGGACTCAAGTCCCCAGCCTAGTTGTCCTTGAGAGAATGGCTAGCTCTAGAGCTACAAGGATAGCCATGACTGAGAAGAGGAGCAGAGGCGGGCTGCCATTTTGGTTGCTGGTGTCTGTAATGGAACCTTGGTGTAGCACATAAGTCAATAGTAGATGAGGACTGAGGTCTTGCAAAAGGGCCAGATGAGGGCCCCTGAGTAGACAGCGCAGCAGTAGGGAAAAATTCGAACTTGGCTGGCGTGTTGAGGAGAGGATCCAGCGAGGGACCTGGACCCAGCACAGCCTTGCCCTCACCTCCGAGACAGGTGTGGCCTGTTCCACCTGCACTTCCGTGGAGCTGGTGAGCTCTGGGTTGGAGGTGTCCAGGATCTCCACAGCCAGTCCCAGCATGAGGCGGGCACGGAAGGACACACCCTCCCCCAGGCCCTCGTTCAGGTCCTGGTGTTCGTCCAGCAGTGTGTAGTTGCGTGTCGAGCCATACATGTTCACCCAGGCTGGGCCAAGCGTGGGCAGGAAGCCTGTGTCAGTGAGGGGAGGTAGAAGGACTGTGTCATATCCAAGGCTCACTCAGGAGTCAGGGATCTTTGTGGCCTTGGCTATTGGGTGCTTGGGAGGTGTGGGGCGGTTTTCTCACTCATGCCTATCTGGCGTGCCTTCTGGTACTTTATTCTCTGCAGGAGCCTTGGCAAGGTGTGTGGGATAGAAAGCCACACTCCTGTTTCCCACTGATATAGGCACCACCTTTAGATAGGTGCCAACTCTTCCCACACTCCACAACATGGATCCTTCATTCTTTGTTTTATTTCTAGATAAAGGATGCCCATCCATCCTGCCTCTCCTGCTCAGGGGACCTTCTCTCCTCTCTGTGATCTCTTGATTATTTATGGGTTCTCAGGTCCTGGACTGTGACCACAGTGGGTTGATAAGGACCTGGGGGTGAAAGCAGCCTCATTTTCTGTATCTGTCACCAGTCAATTTTCTTGTGCTTAGGATTTGTTGAGCTTTGCCTTCTGTGAATCTAATTTGTCTTTATGTATTTTCTTTCTTTCTTTCTTTCTTTCTTTCTTTCTTTCTTTCTTTCTTTCTTTCTTTGCTCCCTCCCTCCCTCCCTCCCTCCCTCCCTTCCTCCCTCCCTCCTTCCCTCCCTCCCTCCCT